ACTAAATATCTGCACGGAGGATTTCGGTGCGAGTCATTCGATGCCAATGCGCACTTTCGAAAGCAGTCGGTCTTGAATTAAAGGTCTCCATGAACGAAACTTTAAACCCACTTCGCCAGCCCTCATGCAATAATTTCAGCTTCGCTGAAATGGCGTTCCTGGCGTGCTCGCGACATCAGGAATCGCAACCCGGTGACCTCGTCGACACATGGAAATAAATCGCGTGCCGAGTCACGAAGAAAATTCGTGGTGGACCTCTCTTGGAAGCGAAGAAGAATGACACGAAGGAATGTCCTGCTGTTCTTACTGGCGAATCGATGACACCAAGCCGCATTTAATCGTTCTGCTTTGTAATTAATTGGACCCAGTAACGAGTTGCATACGGAGATCTGCGGAGCTCGTTGGTGGAATTGCAAACATTTATCATCTATTAATTAAGCGATTAGTCCATGGCGTCGCGCTAACGAGGAAGCTAGTGCGTGAAAGGAAATTTCTTTCGTATGAGCGCCGTCGGGCAATTTCTGTAGCAGTAATCAGTAGTTTATAGAACCCGTTGGAATTCGAGCATACATAATTCTAAATGTTTTTTAGTAGATTCAATAATTAATAGTTTATTAGATCTCCCCAAGAAATAATTTATTTTTCGTTGTGAAGAATCTGCGATGTTGATTAATATATTCAGGCTATTCGATTTATGTTCGCTTTCTATCGACTTTCTAGGTTTTCTGGTTCTTGCATTCTTTGAATCGACGATCTGTTTATATAGCATTCGATGTTTCATTGATCGGTAGCCTGTTAGTCGTCGAAATCAGTCGATAATAAGTCATTTCTGCACAACTCGGCACAAACTGAAACATGAGGATTGACTTAAGTATTGTGTTCCTACAACTCGCGGTTCTATCTAGCAGGAAAAGATGGCAATCGCCTTACTTTATGTCTACAGATGTGCATTGAAATGAGCGCGTGGGTGACAAAGAGAAAAGACGCACAGGTAGATTCACGGAAGAATATACGGCTCTTTACGTTTTCGCGCAGATCGGCGCGAGAAATCTCCTGCAACTCTAGAGAATCTCGGGGAAAGTCTGCACTTCTTTTCAGCGCGCGTCTTGCATTCATGAATTTGCATTTGTTGGCGAACATTTGCGTATAGGTGAAAGAAATCCTCAAGTAAGAGATTGGACACATATGTTTGATATTTTTCCTCCATATTTTTCAGGACTACTGCAGGTAAAACGAGATAAATTATGCATAAAATAGAATGAAATATGCATCTCATTTTATCTTAATCATCTTAATTTCTATTTTTTTCTTTTTTTCTTTCTTAAGCAGATCCTATATCATTCTATCTTAAACAAGTCTTGAAAAATATGAAGAACGTACGTATCCAATTTCTTACTTGAAGATCTCTGGCGTCATCTGTGTTGAAAATTATGACAGATCTATAAAAAGTCTGAATTTAGACTGTTTTCGTATTTTTAATCAAAACAATATCTTTTAAATTTATTTGATTTTATTTATAAACTTTTTAAATTTAACCTTTAAATTAAAATTTGATAAATATTTTTGAATTAAAGTTTTTTTAAATTGCAACTATATACATATATAAAGAACACCGTTAACGATATCCAATCTCTTATTTGAGAATCTCTACAGAGGTGACCCGGAGTGTTCTCGTTTCGCAAGACGCTACGGTTGCAATGTGACGCATCGCCCCCGCAATTTTCTCCGACGGGAGGAATCACGAGGTCTACGAGGGAATATTATAGCGTTGATTTTCGCGTAGGTTGACACCAACTCTCGGCTGTGACACGCGGCGCCGACTTGGCGGCGACGGTTGGACGTTACGCCGATGTCACGGGGCGCTCGTATTATTATTACGCACGTTGCATTTCTGCGGAAACGCCGGGGTACTCGTTTATCACCGGCCGTTGCGAAAATCGTCATTGCGTCACAAAATCAATCTGTCGTGCGTAATATTTCGCCAGCGCGATTCTACGTGACCGCGACATCGAAGAAATTTTACGACGATCGCCACGACTTAAACGACAACAATCAGTAGTTTCAATGGTCATAACTATACATGTGAAGTTTAATAGCTTCGCTTATTTCAGGGATGTAAACCGGTTTCATTCGTAAATTGCCTGTTTTCCAGTATTATGACGCGACAATGAGCGATATGTTTATAATTGCATTCATTGTTCATTTATTCATTGTCTGTGATGCGGAAAATCTAACATATAATTCTCAACAGTTATAAATATCTGTCATATCATTAATACACATAAAATTGTGTAATAACAAAATAGAGCATAATAAATAAGATCGATATATAGTCACTGTGCTTTTGTGTCTACATATACACACACACACACACACACACACACACATACACACACACACATACACACACACACACACAAACACATACACACACACACACACACGCACGCACGCACGCACACATATATACATACTCTCTGTATTATTTATCTACGCAGTTCGTTGAAATGTCAATAAGGTATCTACTGCCGCTTGTTAAAATATCACTAAAATATATCTATCAAACATCTTATTGTTAGATGTGTGCTGTCGAAAGACGATGAATTGTTATGTAAATTGTCACGTCGCAACTAAAGACATTTCTAAGAAAGATAATGTGGCTAAGCCGTGATTATTTCGATCGGAGAAAATTATCTTGACAATTCACGACAAAAGATTTACAAGAAGAAATAAAGTTAGACATACCGGTATAAATAGCGAGCACGAGGTACCGTTGCGACCGTATCGGGTTGAGAGTCGGGGTGATGCGATCGTGATCGATGTAGATCGTTCTTTCGATCTATCTGCGGCAATCCATGCTCAGGCAGACCGGTGTATTTCTACTGGCCGATCGGTAACAATAATCTACATATACCGGTAAACGCGACGCTTTTACGTA